CTTCCCAGCACCTGCACCTGTTCAGCAACACGGAAGCTCTCTGAACCCACCTATTAGGATTTTTATGAAGGTTTCGCTATGTAGGCATGATTGATTAAATCACTGGCCAACTCCTCTCCCCTCTAGCTCCTCTCCTCCAAGTTTGGGGTATTTAGATTTTAGGCTCATCCTGAGTGACATTCAATTATTTTTATTAAAAATATTTTTAGCCAACCAAACTTTTTTCAGAAGTGCATTTATAGTTACTGGTGTCAGAGTGGAAATGAACCTGACATTAGGAGAGGTTAGAAACTCACAGATAGGTTGATTAGGTCCTTTAACAATAATCCATTTAATTATTTGCAAGCTACTTGGTGAGTAACATGAGGGCTGTGGTCAGGTCCACGTAAAGGGTCACCACTGCGTGCTTCCTGCCTAGTCAGTGGAGATGGTATGACCCATGCCATTAAACTTGATCAGCCCTATGAAGTATGTTGACATGTTTGCTGGGGTAGCACACAGATTGCTCACAGCTGTGCAGAAAGAGAATGATGATTAAAAAATTGAAATTTATGGCATTATACTTACCAACTCTTGTGACCCTGAAACATTTTTGGGATCATCAGAGTTTTAAAATAAAATTAATATATAAAACTTGAACTGATTAGGAAATTTCCAGTAGGAATTGTAAGACTTTGCTGTTTTTACTCACTTTGTTTCAGAAGTTTATTACTTCTATTATAAAGTTGATATATTTTATCTCACTGTCCATTCCAATGGACTTCAGTAGTGAAACTGTCAAACTATAAATATTCATCCTGGTCTTTTGGGCACATCTCACATTGATGATGTGATTCTGCTCTTTAGTACTTAGTTGAAAATTCTAGGTGTCACTTTGGAAAAAGGAACCAAAACTGTTCGCTCCCTTGGGTTCTGTTTCTGATGGTGACCCCTGACCTTTTATTGCTGGCATTTCAGGTCCTTAAACAGTGCTTCTAGGTTCTTCAGCTGGTGATAGGGTAAATGACTACTACTTTATAGATTGAAAGTAAATGACAAAATTTTAAATATTAGGCCATTTTTGAATGAAGTCTGTCATTATAATTTAAACCATTCCTGTGGCCACTTTGTCAGCTGTCATAGGAATTTATTGTATCCATGTAGCAGCACACGGGACAAGATGTCACCTGTGATCAGCCCTATGAAATATGCTGACGTGTTCGCGGTTATGCACCTGCTCTCGGATCTTTGCTGAAAACATTAATATCATAGTTTAGTTATTAAAAGGTATCTAACTTTATACATGTTTATGTAATTATTTCCAAGTTTTTTTTTTTCTTTATTCTTTTCCTTCCTTTATTGTACATGTTTTCTTTTTTTTAATCCTAACCCAGGGGCATACTTTTATTGATTTTAGAGGAAGGGAGATGGAGAGAGAGGAGAGAGAGAGAGAAACATCGATGTGAGACTGAAAGAAACATCAGTTGGCTGCCTCTTGCATGTGCTCTGATCAGGAATGGAACAGCAATCTCCTGGATCTTAGGTCGATGCTCAACTGCTGAGCCAGGCCGGCTGGGTCATTTTGAACATTTAAACTTTCTTTTAAGAGTATAATGACCATCCATGTATCTGTTAGTTTTCTCCCATAATTGTCAACATCTGCTGTCCTTGTTTGAAGAGCATATTTTAAACACCATGTTTCTCTTCATTTTTGTGAAAAATTTTCTCTACTGCCAAAAAAAGTGCTCTCATTCTTTAACTCCAAGTAACTTTTTCCTGGATGAAGTTTAGTTGAGCTGTGTTGACATTTTGCATGCATTGTCCAGGAGGGCTCTTTGTTGTAACAATGATAGCATCTGACATTCATTGAGCAATAACATTTGCTAATGGTGTGTAGTGTGACCCTTGCCATCACATGTAATCCCTCAGCTGTCCTGAAGGAGTGCTCTTCTTTCCCGATTTTATAGACAGAGAAACTGAAGTTCAGTTCAATAAAATTGCCTAAGATCAACATAGTTAGATGGTGGCAGAGCTAGAGTTGTTTGGCTGAACTCTCACCACTATAACCTGTATTACTTGTTATAGAAATTCCAGCCAAATTTAATTATGCCAAGTAGGATGTAGTCCAAATACACCAAAAAATCAAACCACAAGTCTTTCCACAAGTACAAAATTAGTTTTTCTTTTGACTTTTATTGAAAATAAGAGCAGGTTAAGTGGAATGGTAATGTTTAAAGAGATGTAGTTTTCTTTAGATGAATTTTGGGACTATTAGTTTTTTATTGTAAATGCATTTGGAATTAAAATTTTAAACTCAACAGCATATTAAATTTTGAGATAATTGAAGTCGTTTTCCCCTTCATTCATCTCATTTCAAGGTGTGTAATGGGAGTACCATATAAAGTCATTCCACACCTTGCAGCTGTATTTCCATCCTTACAGAGGTAGTGGCTCATTGGTCAGCAAATCTTACAGATTCTGCCTTCAAATGGCCTTTTTGTTCTCCTTTCCATCCTACTTTTCTCTTGCCATTGCAGCGGTGCCAGCTCACACAGTACCCGTCTATAGTAAGGATCCTTGTTCTAAACTAAATGACTAGTAATTGGGTAGCAGCAGATGAAGTTAGTGGCTTCTCCTTTTTCCCTACTGCCCAGTGTCCATTTATTCTTAACAAACTGTCAGAAACACAAAAGATGGTAGCTGAATGATATTGGCATTCCTATATAATGTGCTACCTTTCTAAGTGAAAGGGGTACACTTTTCAAGTACTTTAAATGCCTACTTTAAGTAGGATTGGTTTCCTAAGAAAAGTAAAGAAAACCACATTGGAATGTCAATGAAGAAAGGATAGCTTTATTGTTGGACAGCTACAGAGGTCAGTGTACTACTAGCTACAGACCAGCACTTGTTCTTTGATGCTAGTGATGATTATCGTTCATTCGTGGCATAAAGGAAGCACAGGAGAACCCTGGAGAGATCCCTGGGGTTCCTGTTAGCATGCTCCGCCTCATTAGGTTACTTGGTTCATCATGGCCTAAATGCGAAAGGTATATTTTACATACTTGGTTCCACTCCTTACTGAAACCTAAGTGACTTTTCTTTCCTTTGTTAAATATAGCAGTGATTTAAATGGCTTTTTAAAAATAAAGAAGCAAAATAGGAGAAGGCTTAGTTAAATATTATACTACCTTCTCAGAACAGATGCCTTCCAGAGCAGTGTTCCACTTAAGGAAATTTTCCTGGCAGAAACCTCAAGCTTGACGCACAGAGCAGAGATCCATGGCTTTCTTAGAATTAAAAACACGTGCATTTTTATTATAACAACTATAAATGTTTATCTTGTTTTAAAGGGTAGACACAGAATGTTGAGACCTACTTGGAAGCAGCCAGAGATACCAGCTTTCTAGTTAGAGTCCCCTCTTAAACCTGAAGACAAAACCCACATTCTCATTGTGCATAATGTCTGAGGTAATGACATAGGGCTCGTTTCCTTTCAGCTAATTTGTAGAATTTCAAGAAGATGAATTTCCAGTTTCATCACTGTAGGAATGTCATGGTTTTCTTTCCCTAGATTTAAAAGTTTAGAGTTGTCTACCTGACTGTGGACGCCATGGACAGTCTTTCCTTGCTGCTGAGCTTTGGGTTTTATTGGGGCCCTCAGAGCTCTGTTGGATCCAATAATGGAGAAGGGGTACCATGCTATTGGTACCTGCACCCTCATGATTCTGTCCCTGTGAAGGATTAAACCCATGGGACACACTCCCTCATAACTATTTAACAATAATTTTACAGTGAATAAATTGACAATATTGGAAGGTCATTAAGAATAACCCCATCAGTGTGGAGAA